GGTAAGGATCGACAGCGGCATTCTGGGTGCAAGCCGGCGGTCCGCGGCGACACCGACGGAGGCGATTTGCTGCTGTTTTTCTTCTGTTTAGGCTGAAACCGGGGCTGATGGTGGCTGCTCTTGGGCGAAACTAGCTGCTGGTGGTGCTGGCTCGGCGGGGGCAGCTCCGGCTGGTACTGTTCCGGCGTGAACAGTACCAGAATGGACAGAACCGTACACGCCAGAAACAGAAACGGGAAAAGAAATTCACGGGGAAGGGGAGGAGGAGAATGGCTCGGCAGATCGGAACAGAATGGGAGAGAGAGAGAGAGAAATGTCTGGTCAAATAGGTCAACAAAGTGTGGGTGGAATCCAAGTGTCATTAATCCATAGCATTGGACACTTTTGCCCCTAATCCAATGGCCCAAATTTGATCCAATCCAATAATGTAGGGGTAAAATGGTCATTTGTCCTTAACCCAAGCTGACCAGACCTGGTTTAGCCTTAACCAACCTTGGTTAAATCCCAAAAATTAACCAATTTTCGGAATTACTCAAAAATGGCCTAGGGGCATTTTCGTAATTTTCCGATCCCGAACCGAAATTCCAATTTTCGCACATACGTGTTCCATATGTGCGTGGCCAACATAATATGGCGTCGGATCCGCGAAATTCATTCTTTAAGCTCTCGAAAACTGACTGCAAAGTTTCGAGAATAAAATAATATTATTTTTCCAATTTTTGTCGAAATTCCTATTTTTGTCCATAACGACTCCCGGTATGCGTGGCCACCCAAAAATGGCATCGGCCTCGAAAAATAACCTCGCTTGGCCTCAGAAATGGACATCGAAGTCCCCAGGGGCAAAATTGTAATTTTCCCAAATTTCTGTCGAAATTTCCGTTTTCATCCGTATTACTCCCAAACATGTGTGGCCACTATAAAATGACGTCCGTCTTGCAAAATAGTCGTAATTACCCTTGAAATTTTGATATCGAAGTTCGGGCTCAATATTGCGATCAAAATAACTCGTTTCGAAGTCTTAGGGCCTCTCACTAACGGGCGGCTGTTTAGGTGTTACGCGTATCGACCTAGGATTGTCCGAGTCATGATGGCCTCGAATTTCGAGAGAACGAGAGGAATTATCACTAGTGCCGGGGGTCGCGATCGTTTGGATTAAAATCGGGGTTCGTTAGTCAGGCGTACTTTCGGTCGTGCGGAATCACCCGCGATCCGATCGTACGTATCTGACTATATCAATCCGTCATTTTCCTAAGATCGGCCCATATTGGTCCAAAATATTCCCTCGATGTTTCTCGAACTCGGCACTCAATCGCGATCGGGTCCTTGGTCCACGTACCTGATCCTATTTAGCCTTTCCCATTTGGTTAGTATCCCGTGATTGATCAAGTCCGGGCGAGACTTACTAAAATCAAACGAGAATTAATACACACTTTATTGATCCAGATAACAGATCAAAATTCAGGATGTTACATAAATCGAGCCATCCTTGCTCTGATACCAATTAAACCGGGTTGTCACGCCCCGAACCCCATCGAGCCCGTGACTTTACGAATTAAACCGGGTTGTCACGCCCCGAACCCCATCGAGCCCGTGACTTCCCTCAACCTCGGTCGAATCAGTGCGACGTCCCAGGAACACGTTGCCGACCCAATTTTCCCATCAGAGTTGATTCGCGGCGGAAACAATTATAAAATCCCAGACAATAAAATTGGAGACTACCAGGAATAACTAGATCGCATACCCGCCAACATATATATATATATATATACATTACACTTCCAAAGATTTACAATATCCATTATTATTTACAAGCACACCGAACCAGTAACTATTAACTTCCAAAATACAAAAAGGATCAGCATCCTAGATCAGCATTATCCAAAAATGGGGCACTCTCAAACTATTGCCTCGCTCCCAGAACTAGTCCCTACGCCCTCTCGGAGGCATCCACTCTGACTCACTGTCCTCGACATCACCACCTGAATCCTCCTCAGCTGTCTGTTCACCCAACGGCTCCAAGTCGGCCTCAATATGTTCATGGTTCAGGCGGAGGCTCTGAAATGGTTTGGTTGATACAACCATGAGACACTTCTCAATAAGTCACAACCTAAACTCTACCTAGGCTACCACGTTATTCCAGACATATCCAGACACAACCAAGCAATAAACACAAACATCGTCATCTACACGATCACACTAACCTGGACTCTTGGCATAAACAGCCTGCACATTAGTCCGCAATCATAACAAACAATTCTCACACGCATCTCAACCACACGCACTACAAATCACTCACATTCTCATGCCCACGTACACATCGAACACACCACATTTCCAATTCCACATTCCATGCTCGGTCACGCACCAATCACATCATTTTCGTTAATTGCCATTGCGACCCGCGTAAACACGCCTGAGGCCTGATCTCACTTTCCTCGGCCCGCGTAAACACACCTCAGGCCCACACGATCGCGCCCCGAGCATCACACGCCTCGGTCCGATCCCATTTCCTCGGCCCGCATAAACACGCCTCAGGCCCAAACGATCGCGCCCCGAGCATCACACGCCTCGGTCCGATCCCATGTTCACACTTTCCTCAGCCTTCGCCAAATGCGACAGGCCTACATGATCAAGGCCCAAGCCAAGAATGTCTCGGCCTGATCCCACATTCACTTTCTTTCCTCAGCCCGCGCCAAATGCGACAGGCCTACGTGATCGCAGCCCGAGCTTAGAATATCTCGGCCCGATCCCGATCTCATCCGAGCTAGTCGTGCCTCGGGCCAATCTCAATTTTTCCTGCTTTCTCATACCTCAGCCAGCGCCAAATGCGACTGACCTACATGATCGCGACCCGAGCTTATAATATCTCAGCCCGATCCCACATTCTCGCACTTACACACGTTCACATTAATTTCCTTACACACAATTGCACCCACAACCACATAATCACATCACAAACGCGCATTCGTGCACAAATCCGCATTTTTCCACACCCAAACGTTTTCAAATCAATTTCAATCCTTCACGGGACTTTCACAGGATTCCGAGACGGACCTAATGGTACCCGTCTCGCACCCAACAGCAACCCTCAGTACATCACACGGCACATCACAGCCAGCAAACAGTTTTTTCTGCACTCAAAATCACAATATTACACTTCCGGCTCTTCACGACACTTGCGTGAAATCCCGAGCCTAACTTAACGGTACAAACCGCGTCTCCAACAGCACCTCACAGCATACCAAACACGCAATCACAGCATTGATCGGCCTCTAAAATTTCCGTTAAAACTCCCCAAATTCAATCCTAGGCCCCGCATATCAACTTCGCCCGCAAAACCATACCAAACCGCGTCTATCTAGGCCCGAAACAACCCGATATACTAGATAAAGTTTAGGATGAACTTACCGAGCTCTAAACTATCGCGGTTAGAGCGAAAGCGGTGGCAAAACCCGAGATCTAACGGCGGCTTGCGGTGGCGGCGATGCACGGCAAGCGGCGGCGACGGCGGTGGCTTGGGCGGTCAGCGGCGGCTCACGGCCAAAGGAGGGAGGCCGAGAGGGAGAGAGAGAGTCACGGAGGGAGAGAAATCGGGAGGGAGAGAGATGGAGATGGAGCCGAGAGAGTGAGAGAGAGATATGAGGAGAGAGAGAGAGAGAGAGAGAGGTCTAACTTAATTTCCAAGTTTTGACCACTTTTTGCCAAATGACCAAAATGCCCCTCTCTAAGCTTTTCATCCGACGGTCCAGATTCGATCTTATCTTGAAATCGACGGCCCAGATCGAATCTCATCCAAAATATCCAAGGGCAATCTTGTAATTTCTCAAAAAGTTCAAGGGCAAAATTGTCTTTTCCAAATTTGAGAGCAAAATTACCAAAATGCCCTTGCCCTTTATAACTAGCCCTTTAGAAATCCTTAGGGGTAAAATGGTCACTTTCTCATTTTCTTGCCCAAATTGAATTTTTCTGAAGGATTCGGTCACACCCAAAAATCGCACGTTACACCCGCAACGTCGTCCTAACGTTCTGCCGTGACTTCCTAATTTTTCGATGCCCAATTTGGTCTAAATTTAATAATTAAATTCTATATAATGTAACTCGTGCATATCTCTGACTAACGGGCAGCTTTCCGGGAAATTCGCAAAATCGACCCGTTACTGATACTAAATCGAGTCACGTGCAATTTATTCAGACCGTAACGACTTCGGTTGTCAATAAAATCGCAAGGATCGATCACTAGTTCCGATGAGTACGATCGTTTGGAATAGGTTCTAGATCGTTCGTCAATTCATTTCGGGGTCAAACGGAATCACCCGTGATCCACGTGTATGACAATAACGAATCGGCCCATCACTATCCTAAGATCGGCCTACACTGGCTCAAAATGTCACCTCGACGATTTTATGGTCGAAAGTCAGTTCGCGATCGAATTCCTCTAGTCGTACGAATTTAAATCCCCCATTAGCCTTTCCCTAATGGTTAGTATCCCAGGAATGATCAGTTCCGGGCGAGACTGCCTACAAGTACATTAATAAAATCGGCTATTTCATAATTCCCAAATGGGCGAAATTTCGGAATGTCACAACCTGCACAGCAAGACCGACGGGTAACTACTTTTAGCATTCCATCTGACGTGTGTTGTATCATGAAAACTCGATGCATTTCAACTGGTTTCTTTACTAGGTTGGTGGTAGTCTTGTTGAAATTGAATTTTATGCTATTGGAGCTTTACCGCACAAATCACGCTAAATCATGGCACAAACCCAATTTTGTCCTTTCTCATTCCAAACAGCATTTTCTTCAGTTCAGGTCATTCACTATATAACCTTTTGTTCCTATGCTAATTCATGTACAATGGAATAAATCCTTGAAGAACACATTTCAATTAGGTCCTTAGTTTTCAATTTGGTCTTGTCAGAACGTAATTTGGTTCAGCGCAATTTTGTAACTCATTGCCTTTTGACCTCCAACAATAGGCGAGAAGGTGAGCTGGCCAAAACAGTTACCCAAGAGATTTTTAATAAGTTGAAAAAGGCTTATCTGGAGGTATCAGACTATTTGGTCAGCGTTGACCACCATGTGGATGAAATCATAAAAAAGATAGGTGCTCGAACAAGTGAAACACGGATTATAGTGATTCATGGGATGGGTGGCGTTGGAAAGACAACTATTGCCAAAATCATCTACAATCAACTTGCAAACAATTTCAAGCATTGTTGCTTTCTGTCCAACATCCGTGAAATGTTAGAACACAAGAGCACTGAATGCTTGCAGCATCAACTTATCTTCGACATCCTCAAAATGAAAGATATAAAAAACATAGATGATGGGAATCAGACAATTAAATACAGGTTGTCTACTAAACAAGTCCTCCTCCTCCTTGATGATGTGCATGAAAAGAAACATATGGATGCACTCATAGGTGAGGGTAATTGGTTTGGTAAAGGGAGCAAACTTATTATTACTACTAGAAACAAAGACATTCTCAAGGTTCCCATAGTGGACGACCATTATGAGGTTAATGCAATGGATCTTGATCAATCTCTTCAACTTTTTAGCAAACATGCCTTCAGAAGAGATTATCCTTTGGACGAGGATATCAACCAATCCAAAAGGGCGACAAACATTGCTGGAGGTCTTCCGCTGGCTCTTGAGGTCATAGGTTCACTTTTATCTCGCACCAAAAAGGAAGAGTGGGATCTCATATTGAAGAAGTTGGAAAGTGTTCCTCCTACGGAAGTCCAGGATAAGTTGAAAATAAGCTATGGAGCACTAGATGTTCGGCAAAAGCATATATTCCTTGATATAGCTTGTCTTTTCATTGGATATGACAAAGACATTGTGGTTCATTTCTGGGATGAATCTAAATTTCCAGAAGAAGCCATGGAAGTTTTGCAGAACATGTCTTTGATCAAGATTAAAGAAGCTAATAAAGTGTGGATGCATGATCAACTCAGGGATCTAGGAAGAGAAATGGTTCGTGAAGAAAGTAAGATGAAAGTAGAGAAGCAAAGTAGGATGTGGAATCCTAAGGATGCATTGGATTTGTTGAGGAGACATAAGGTAAGATCCCCTGTGCAATAAATCTTCTAGTTACTTATGGACATTTTCTTTTCAAAAAAAGGCACTTACGTTTTGTGTTCTCGCCATTAATGTGATCTACTCAACTAATATTTTTGCTCTTTTATGACTAAAGGAACCATATTACTCAACTCAACCCCTTAAAATAGTGAACTTGAATAAATGCATTTCCCTTCAACTTTTTTGTTTTTAAAATTTTCCTTTGGACAGGGAAAAAATAAAGTTGAAGCTCTTCGTCTCAAGTTTGACCATGAGGGGCAGTACTGTTTTACCTATGAGGGCTTTATGAGACTATCCAATCTAAGGTTCCTTGAAGTTGACGGTTTGATGAAAAAATTTTGTGCTGAAGAGAGGCTTCTTTGGCACGAATCACCATCAAAAGTTTTCCAAGAGAATTCATATCTCCTTCCACAATTACGATGGCTTTCATGGTACAATATTCCCCCAACATTTAACATAACAACTTTCTCCATGGAGGATGTGGTTATTCTTGATCTATCTGGGAGTGAAATTACACATGATTGGAAGGGCTGGAGCCACATGAAGGTATGTTATATACTAGACAACACTTATTATTCTGACTTATTAAATTCAAAATTAATCTTTGCATAATTTTTCTTTCACAGGTCATGAAGAATTTGAAAGTTATGAATTTGACTGGTTGCCATCTCTTGGGGAGAACTCCCACCTTCTTTGCTCCGGCAAATATAGAACGTTTGATCCTACAGGGCTGTAAATCATTAATCGAAATTGACAAGTCGATTTGTCAATTGAAACACTTAGTTTACATGGATGCAAGCAGTTGCGAGAATCTTCGTGTGCTGCCAGACGAGCTGGGTGGAGATCTTACAAGCCTTAAATACCTAAATCTAAGTCGATGCGGATTGTTGGAGAGGCTTCCCGATTCAATCTGGAATTTGGAATTCCTGATGGAGTTGAATATAAATTATACGAGGATCAAAGAACTACCTAAATCCATCGGAAAGTTGAAAAATTTGACAACAGTGAGGATATGCAGTCATATAAGCAAAATACCGGATGCTCTTTGGACGATTGAGAAGCTCGAAGAAATAGAATACGATCGGGAAAATTTGTCTGGAGGTCGAGTGAAAGTTGGAAAATGCATCTCCATGAATCAATCCCTGAGGATCTTGAGACTGAAGCTCGCGAATATATACGCACTACCGAGACTTCCTGAAAGTCTTATCACTCTGGAATTGTCTAGGTTGTACATGGACGAGTTTCCAGATCTCTCAAACCTCACTAATTCAGAGGTATTGGATCTGATGTTTGGCCCACCTAATTTAGAGGTGATATCTAATGGGCCTGTGGAATGTCTGATAACATGGTGGATTGAGAAGTTAAGCAAACTGCGGTATCTGCACCTCGACTCTCATTATGTGACCACCTCACCAACAGGCCTTAGCCTCCCTCCTCATCTCATGTCACTTCACCTTGAGTGCCCTAATTTGCGTCGCCTCCCGAGGCTTCCCTCGAGTTTATCGATTTTGCTTTTGTACGATTGCAAGTCACTTTGCTCGATGGAGGATCTATCGAATTTGAAGAATCTATCATTCCTCAAGATTACCTTCACTACAATTGCAAAGATTCAAGGCCTTGGTTGTTTGGGGAACCTACGAGAATTGGAGCTTAATTGGCTTGGACGGGTAAAGATACTACCCGATCTAAGCAATTTAAACAAACTAAGGCTTCTTAAAATAAGATCTTGTGATGATCTGTTCGAGATTCAAGGCGAACTACCACGTTCTTTGGAAGAATTGCGTATTTATAGCTGTCGTTCTTTACAAAAGTTGCCCAATCTATCAAGCTTGATGGGTAGGACAAATGTTGAAATAGACTATTGTGATAAATTTCTTGAATATGCTCGCATGAATCGACAAGTTTTGAAGCTTGTAGGCTTTCAACAGCTGCAGATCCTACCTGATCTAAGCAATTCAAACGAACTAAGACATCTTCAAGTAAAAACTGTGGTAAGTTGGTTGAGATTCAAGGCAAACTACCACAATCTTTGGAAGTATTGACGATTTCTTCCTGTAAACTTTTACAGAAGTTACCTGATCTGTCCAACTTGAAGAAACTGCAACGGGTTGACATAGAAGGTTGCACGAAATTAAAGGGTGAGGCAATTCTTGGCTCTGCTCGAAGAAGTCAAGCAAATTTGTGGGAGAACCTACAATATTTGGGAATTTGTGGCCTTGGACAGGTGGAGATACTACCTGATCTAAGTAACTTAAACAAACTACAACATCTCCGAGTAGAAAACTGTGATAATTTGATCAAGATTCAAGGCGAACTACCACAATCTTTGAAAGAATTGGAGATTTGTTCCTGTAAATCTTTATGGAATTTGCCTGATGTGTCAAACTTGAATAGACTGCAAAGGGTTAAAATTCATCGTTCTTGGAAATTAAATGTGGAGGCAATTTCTTCGCTTTGCTTGGAGAAGTCAGTCGAATTTGAGGAAGAAGAAGACGAATGGGACAGAGAAGCCGACGAGTCTAAATATGAGGAAGAAGGTACCGAATCCGAATCTGAGGGATTCGGATTCAGACAACGAGTCTCAATATGAGGCAATTTCTTTGCATGCTGCACTTTAAAGCTTCTTGAGCCACAACCACAAATTGTTCCCTTGTGTTCTAACTCTAAACAAAGTGAGGTAAGTTAATTCATCTGACAACCAATAGTTTCTTTCTTTTTTTGCAATCAAATTCTTTCAAAGATACGACCAGAGAAGTTTTACGGGTGCACTTTTTAATGACCTTTTTGCGAGTTCATGTCTTAAAATCTGCTGAAGGTATTGAAATTAGGTTACCTCCGAACAACCAGAGGGTTCTTAATTATGATTTTTTTTCCTAGTTTGGTTTGGCTTTTTTAGCTACATTTTCTTTGGATGGTTTCTCCTTGCTTTTTTGATTCCCAGCTGGAGGTATGCATGTCAATTGCATTGTTTTTATTTGATATTTGTTATGTAACTAATTATTAGAGATCCTTGTCGATTTGCTGCTTCACATGTTTCGAAGTCGGTAACCTTGCCTTGCATTGGGGATAACTTCATTATGTTGTAAACAATTAGATGAAATGTGTGTTGGAAGGACATATAACTATGGTTCTCATCCTGGAACTTTACAGCATAATCAACTAATTCTTATTGGGGTTTGCATATGTTATGAAGAAGCTATAAAATGAAGAAAGAGGAATTTCACTTGGGTAGCTGCATCAATAGTTGGTGCAGCAAAACTTCCATCTCCAAGGTATAACAAATCATCTTATAGTAAAGGCTAAATCTAGTATTGGTGCCTTAGATATATGATAAGTCTCACTTGGGGTTAGAAATCATGTAAATGAAACTATTGTATGATCTCCATTATTGCCTACATTTCTAGAAATGCCTAGGCGATTATCTATCATAGAAGCCCTTCCATTCACCTCGTTATACTAAAGGATTCTTTTAGGTTTTAAGATTAATAAGAAGTGCTAAGGAAGGCATCTCAAACAACCGGCTTTTGATGGTTTCTAATGTTGCTGAGAGGAATTAAAGTTACATAAACTTACAAAAAGCTTTCTGCACAGGGAACTATGGCTAATTGAGCAGCTGTACAAATGAAGACTGATAAAGGAAAATGGAGATGACATTCAAAGTGAAGTTTTTCATCCACTTTTTAATTACTTCTTGTGAGTTGATGCCCGGAAATCTAAAGAAGGTATTGAAATTACGGTACATTCGTACAACCAGAGGTTCTTTCGTACAAATATATGTTTTGTTTTCCTAGTTTGGTTTGGCTTTTTTAGCTATATTATTTTGGATGGTTTCTCCTTGCTTTTATGTTTCGCAACTAGAGGTATGCATGTCGATTACGTCGTCATTATTACAATTCGTTAGAGATCCTCGTCTATTTGCTGCTTCATAATTTTTCGAAGTTGACGCCGTCTGCTTCGCATAACTTTGCCATATTGTTAACAATTAGATGAAATGTGTCTTGGAAGGTCATAGCACTATGGTTCTCATACTGGAATTTTACAGCATAATCAACTCATTGTTGCAATTGTAAAGAAGACGGACTCTGTATTGATTTGCTTATTGTTCAGTTGTTTTTTTTGTTGGAGCTTATGTTCGGTTTATTTTCTAGGAAAGTTGTGCTTCTTAATGGGATTTGCAAATGTGACTGAGAAATTATAAAATGAAGAAAAAGGAATTTTATTTGGGTAGTGGCATCAATAGTTGGTGCAGCAAAGCTTCCATCTGTGACAAGATAGAACTATTTAGCTTCTCCAAGGTTTCATAAATCATCTTATAGTTGAGGCTAAATTTCAGTATTATCAATGCATATGTCATATGACAAGTCTCACTTGGGGTCTGAAATCATGTCAATCGACCCTTGTGTGATCTCCAATAGTGCCTCCATTTTCTCGAAATGGTTATGCCTAGGTAATTTATCTGTAATAGAAATCCTTCCATTCACCTCAAGTTATACTAGATGACTCTTTTAGGTTTAAGGATTGACAAGGAGTGCTTAGGAAGACAAATCAAACAATCGGCTTTTGCTGGTTTCTAATGTTGCGGAGAGGAATTAAAGTTTAAGAAACTTACAAAAATCTTTCTGTGCAAGGAGCTATGGCTAATTTGTCAGCTATATAGACGGAGACCAAAGAAAGGCAGATGGCGGATGAAATTTGATGTTGACCGTTGGTAATTAAGGTTCCAATACGATGTACATTTGTCAATTTACACGTTGGCAATTTATGTGAGATCCTCAAAACTTGCTGGTTTGTACTTTAGATTTGAACCCGATAACTTTGCCTTGTAAAACTTAACTTTGATATACCTTAAACAATGAATTAATAGTCAAATGTGAAGGTTTTAATCCGTGACAGACACTCTTTCATTCACTTTTTGGTTATCCTAAGAATGGAGCCTTAGGTTTCAACATTGATATGGAGAATCACTATACACCAAAAGAGTCCTATATAACAGTCTGAGCTCTTTCTCTCGGTCATAAGTAAAAAAAAACTTACAAATTCGTTCTATAAAGATAAGCTGCGGCTAGCTCAGTTAACGCATAGAATTGACAATCGTATATCTTTCCCAACGTTTTGGTGCTGTACTCTGGCTTTTACTGTAATGTACAAACTCCAGCTTATCATACAGTGTCAAGGATTTAGCTGGTCTCCTGCACAATGTGCTTTGAGTAGTCATAATTGGCAATATATGCTTTGAAATTACTAAGGAATTTCAGTTTTTCGGTTTCTGCTAATGTTAATTCTTGCATATCAGAAATAGAAGGTAAAAGCTTACAGCTCTTGTTCCCAAGGCCAATTAGATCATTCTTACATGTCTAAGCCAAGATGATATAAATTGTTTACCTCCTAAAAGTTGAAATTCAGCAGAGGTTGCCAGTTGAAATGATGCGAACTTCAGACAAGGTCGTCATTTGTTTTCGAGATGGCTTGTTTTAACTGTTAATCTGCATAATTTCTTGCCAGGAAATATAGTTGAAGTACTTGGTTGTGCCGAGAAATCTTTTATGTGCCAATGAGCCAGTAATAGAAGGTAAGATCACTGCTTGAAAAGTGGTCTCCCTAGACAGTCATTGTTTCACCACATAAAACAGGATAATTGCCTAACCGTGCAAGTCTTACAATTCCGGAATTCACACACATCTGCCAATTTTGTGAAGTTCAACGAGAGTTCAACCTCCCAAAAAGGGGAAAAAAAGGAAGGAAAAAAGCAGGTGATTCAGCTATGGATAGCTCAGCTCAGCATCCACACATCCTTAATAGGTTTTATCAAGCCTAATAAACAAAGCCACAGGTCCAAGATTAGATTGACAGGTAAACTTGCGAGCGTATTCATTCAATAGATATCACAGAATTGTATTAACAAGAATGATAGAGTCAACTTCATGCTATTTACATTCCAAGTGAATTTCAGTAGAGATCCTATGCATCTTGTGATGATCATGGAAACAGATGATGGAATGCATTTCGTGAACAAACTTCATCCGGAGCTACCAAATGATCTTTGAGAAATTAGGTGCTGACTAAGGAGCATTTTACTTTAAGTTGCTCTTGGCAGTGGAGTCTGAACGCAACCTTAATGCAGAAGCAGAAAAATTTTTGGAAAGCATAAGATTTCCTTTGTCAACTTCGCTTCCATATTCCTTCAATCATGGGTCCATGATGATTTTGCACGATCCCCATGTCTCCGCCATTAATTCCACACCATAGTAGACTAAATGGTCCACGATGATCATCCGTCCGTAAATATTCCCAGTAAGAAAGGACTGGCATTCTCTAGAACAAGCCGGTCTGTCACACGTCTTATTGCAACTAGCATGATAAATCCACAAAATAATTGCTTGTAACAGGTAGCTACGACTGAAACTACCTCTTTACCCGCTGCCCGTTGGATCTTCTTTAGAGCCACCACAAACTTCCTCAACCTGATACACCAGACTACCAAATCCTCTATTATACAGCCATACCTACAACAAAAGAAAGATTCCAATTACATGTGCACACTAACATAGAAAAGAGTAAGATTATCTCACATCAAATTATTTTCACATTATCTCACATCAATATGTTAATCCGTGGCTGTTATTGAGCAAGTTGTCAATAATTATAGGCATTAGTAGACATACATAATATCAATGAGTAATACCTTATAATTGCATAGAGCTTAAGACTAGGTCATCATCCATCATTGAGAGGGAGAGAGTAAATAATACACATTATCGCGCGTCTTAAATTTTAGAGTCGGTACAAGAAACTCATGATAGCTTTACAAGAAGGAGACGAGTTCCTTAAATATTGTCAAAAAGGTCATGAGTACTACAAACTGCCCTGCTTTGTTAAGAAAATTGTTGGAAAAAATAAGACATCTCCAGTTAGATAGGTTGAAAGAATGCAAAGTAAACATCAAATGCAATCAGCAACAATTCCCCATAATATATCTGATATTCCATCAAGATCAAAGTCATACCTCTCTAGGGAAGTGGTGGCATGTCTTTGTGGGAACCAAGAATAGTATGGAGACAAATGAGGCACAACATCATGTCCATTAATAATATGTGTAGTGTATTTGGCACACGGTCACTGTAGTAAGACACAGACGTTGCATTTCCAACACGAGGTTGTCCAAATGTCAAAACCTGGACATTCTGTGCTTCCTGATTGACCTGGAAATTAAGTGTCCTTAGTTATATAAGTAAATCAAGTGAGTGATGGTCTGGAAAACAGCTTCAGCACACACAATTAGACAGCCAAGTAACTTCAATGTTCAATACTTTCACGAGGGGAAAAACTAATATGCATCAATAACCATATATTGCCACATACGAAGGTGAACGATAGATCAGCCCTTTCTCTCCATGAGCTTTGGAGGTTTAGCGTTACTCTGTCTAGATCCCGTCCATAATTTTCCAAAACCAAATCCCACAACCACAACAAAACCAACCCCACCCTCACCCCAAGAAAAGGTGTTAATAATATGGAATAGTGGGATTGGGGGTGAATTTACAACCAAGGTGCATTTACATGCTTCCACAACAAGCACTTGGATGTTGGCGGGGTGAGTCACATCCAGCTAATGACATAAACAAAAAATTCCAGGTTGATGGTGAAATTGCCCCTTGAACCCCAAAACTTACAGTCATTGATAGCGAAGGAGAAACTAAATCTTAAAAAGGGCCATGACACATAGAAAGGGCCACGACGCATGGGCATGATGTCACAACTGGCTCAGAACAATTTTCAGCAAGAAACCAGCAAAAAAAAATGACATTTAAAATCATCTAAGTGTTCGGACAAGATGTTACAGTTGCTATGAATACTTCGAGAAAAGGTTTAGTCTAAAGCTCAAGCAACCGATGATCCTATCCTAGGCCACATAAATGTCTGTATTATCTGAGTCCAAGACAAAGTTTGACCCTAAAAAATCGCAACTTTTCATGGAGAAGAAAATTAATGGGACATGACTTTGGGGTGTTTACCATTTCTGGTACCAGTTCCACAACAGGTGCCTAGAAATCTCTAGACCACTCTATCCAATAAAGCTGAGACAAAAAGCATAATTGACATTTTAGAATTGGCTCCAGCCTACAACATATCTGGCCCGTAGTCCAACAAAAAAGGAGCTGCTTCTTTTGGTTAGAGAGAGACAGACAGAAACAGTGCACAGAACACAGATTTAGGATCAATATATTCTAGTTTAAAATGCATTAGCACTTCAAGGTTACATGACATAAAATTT